CTTAAGGAAGAGTGGGAAAGTCCCGAGTCAGCTAAGGATAGTAGGAAATGGAAAACTCTTTCAAGGTCAGCTGAGGTGGCTCGAGGGGCGTCATCACCCAGAAAAGAACAGAATCGTCTGCATTTATAGTTGTAGGACTTCTGAGTAGTAGGCTTCCTGGAATTTAAAAGGACGTTCACTACACGTAAGGAGACACCTGCGCCGTTATCTGCCATGCCGTCAGTTTCAACTGAGGTATGTTGTGATGTAGGACAGGGGAGTCTGAGAGAAGGAGTAGGTCCGGGGCCGGGGGGAACTGATGGTATATCCCCCGGGATAACTCGAGGACCGTTGAAACCAAGGTTGTCTTGGCCACTATGGTGTTATTAGGATACAATTGGCATTGTCCTTGAATACTTTGCAGACCACTCTCAGAAGCAGAGGTAAGGGGGGAAACAGGTAAAGGTGTGTCGAGGACCAAGGATAAAGGAGGCCGTCTCCCAGGGATTGCGGGCCGTTGCCTCCCCGACTGCAGAACAAAGGACACTTTTTGTTGTTCCTTGTGGCAAAAATGTCGACTTGGGGAGCTCCTCACCTGTGGAAGAGTGGGAGGAGGTATGTTGGGTTCATCCCCCACTCGTGAAGGCTGAATCCTGCTCGACTTAGATGGTCTGCCTCCACGTTCATGCGTCCCGGGATGTGAGTGGCCATGAGGAATATACCGTTGGTGATGCAAAACTCCCACAAATTGATTGCCAGGGTGCAGAGGTGTAGAGAGACTGTGCCTCCCTGTCTGTTGATGTAGGATACCGCTGTGGTGTTGTCCGTTAGGACTGTGGCACATTTTCCCTTGATTAAGGGGAGGAAACTGGTTACAGTGTATTGTATGGCCAGGAGTTCGAGGAAGTTTATGTGACGGTTCCTCATATGTGTGTTCCACTTGCCTCCAACAGAATGGCCCATGGAGTGTGCACCCCAACCCCTCAGGGAAGCATTGGTCGTGATGGTGACTTCGGGTGACGGAGGATGGAAGGGCGCTTCCTGAAGGATATTCGAAGGGACAGTCCACCAAAGTAAAGAGTCCTGTATGCTGGGTGGAGGGGATAGGACGACAGTGTGCACGTTCTTCGACAGGTCGTAGTTGCGAATGAACCATAGTTGTAAGGGACGCATTTTGAGTCTTGCAAAGACGAGAACTGACGTAGTCACAGCCATGAGACCGAGCAGCCTCTGGATTTGGAAGGCGGTGGCGGAGAGTTGGGTACGGACGACGGTGGCTAGGGAAATGATGTCTGTGGCCCTGTCTGTAGGTAGGTAGGCCATGCATGTGTTTGAGTCCAGGATAGCGCCGATGTATTGAATTCGCTGGACAGGACACAAGTGAGATTTTTGTTGATTGACCCTTAGGCCCAGGTCGTCCAGTAGTGACAGAGTTTCTGTTACGTTTGAGAGCAGGGCGTGTTGTGAAGACGCCACCAGAAGCCAATCGTCTATGTATGGGTAGACGGACACCCCTTCGGAGACGTAGGAAAGCCGCAACCACAATCATAGTCTTTGTGAAAACTCTCGGGGCACTGGAAAGGCCAAATTGTAGGGCCGTATATTGATAGTGGTGTTGGCCAATTGCAAAGCAGAAGTATTGGTGGTGGTAGGGGTGGATAGTGAGGTGGAAATATGCGTCTTGGAGGTCTAGGGTGGCCATCCAAACGTGTCTGCGCAGCAGTGGCATGATCTGTTGTAGGGAGACCATACGGATGCGGTAGTAGGTCACAAAATGGTTCAGTTCCCTGAGATCTAATATGGGTCGAACACCTCTGGCTCTCTTCGGGACTGTGAAGTATCGGGAGTAAAATCCCGTCCCTTGGAGGTGTGGTGGTATTCTCTCAATGGCTCCCTTCTGCAGAAGGACGGACACCTCCTCGAGGAGAGGTGGGGAAGGGGGCGTGGAGACAACGACCGGAGTGTTGGGGTTCTGATGGAACTGAATTTTGTAACTTCGGGTCAAGATGGAGAGGACCCACTCGTCTGAGGTGATAAGATGCCAGGCATGGATAAAAGGAAAGAGACGGGTATGAGCTGACTCGGCGACACGAAAGTAAAAAACCCTGCTTGGAGGGCTTGGGCTGTTTGCTGCGGAAAGCTTGTTGTCCAGAACTGAATTTTGGCTTTTGGTAGGTCGGTTTTTGGCCTCCCGAAGACGTTCTCGGTCTCCATCTAGTGTCTGGAGACTGATGAGTTTGGGTATGTCTCTGCCAGGACCTGGACCAGGTGCGGGGGCGATATTGTGCCTCGCAGAAGATGAGACGCCTAGCGCTCGAGATGCTTTAATGCTCTTATCTTGTAGAGTCAGTTGCTGCATTGAAAAGCCCCAGGCCATCGAAGGGGAGGTCTTCCACATAAAATTTGGTGTTACGAAGCCAGGAATGTCTTCTGAGAGCTATTGCCGAAGCCATGGTTCTTGAAGATGCCTTGAGGACATGTTTCGTGGTGTTGAGCTGTTGTTTTGCCAACAGCATGCCTTCCTTTTGTAAGAGTCTGGCTGCCTGGAGTTTATCGTCTGGGAGATGGCTGAATAGCTCTGTGAACCATTCCCAGAGAGTATACTGATACCGATTCATACAGGCCTTGACTCCCAATGCCCCCGTGGAATAGAAACGCCTGCTGAATGCATCTAATTTTTTACCTTCCTTATCCGAAGGTGTTGAATGCATTTTCTTGGATTTTGAGGAAGAAGTTATAACCATGGAGTTTGGCTGAGGGTGTGAGAATAGAAACTCGGCCTCTGACTCTTGGACCCTGTACATGTGGTCCAGTTTTCTTGTGGAAACAGGAGCAGTTGAAGGTTTGAGCCATGGTGACTTCGCTGCCTGTAAAAGAACTTAAGACATAGGCAGTGCCAAGGTGGAAGATGTATCCAGCTGTACAATATCGTAAACTGAATCCGTTGCTTGCGGATGTTGTTGGACGACAGAGAGGCCTAAAGAGCGGGCCACTCTTTTCACTAAATCAGTGTATAAAGTGAGGTTGTCGTGAAGTCAATTATTTTTAAAAAAGGAAATGCAGCTTGGGGAGGGGATGATTTTAAGTGAGAAGCAGTGTGTATGTGGGGGTACTTAAACTTTGCCCTACCTTATTTTCCCCCTTCAAATTGTGCCCTCCCTGCAAAGCTGATTTTTCTTTGAGGGAAACCAGAACACTATGCCCAAGAAAGGCAGCCCCCTCAACTGTCTTTCATCCCACGCCATTGGTGGGGGGGGCATGAAGTCTCTTGGGGAGCGACTTCTGGTCCGTGGACGTCTGGGAGACAAGGTAGTGGCGTGTCTGTGGGAGTTGTCCCTGTAGTCGCGGGTGTCGATATTGACAGACTGAGTGTGCAGACGTGGAGGGTGACGCTGCGTGTCACATAAGGTATATCGGTGCCAATGTGGATCGATGTCGGGAGCTTCCGATACTATCGATGCCAACGAAGTCGAAGAAGCGGGGGAAAGCTCTGCACCCATTTGGTGACTTAAGAGCTCCGCCGTGTTGATGTTGGAGTAAGGAGGCTCCGTTTGGTGGCAGGGGAGTCCAATACATGGATGGTCGGTATCAGTGGAGGAACTTGGGCCTCCGATATCAATACTGCCGGTGGAGCGGGAGGCACTATAGGGGCATCACCCAGTGCAGGCACTGCTTCCTTCCCCTTCTTTGCCGCCTTAAGGGACTTGGAGGTGCCCTTCTTCGCGGACTTATGCTCCGTACTTGCCTTAGCCTTCTTCTTGACTGGCGTAGAGGCGGACGATCGTTTCTTCGATGTCAAGGGCTTCAGTATTGGGCGGTCGACATCGGAGGCAGGTCTCAATGCCGGAGCTGTCGATGTAGACGGTCTCTCCTCCATCGCTGAGGCTGGAGCAAGGGCCGATTCAAGCAGCGCCACTTTAAGGAGCGCAGCGCGGTTCTTCCTCGTCTGGTTGGAGAAGCAAGCACAGTGACGACAGGACTCTGGCTTGTGAGACTCTCCAAGGCAAAAAATGCAGAGGGTATGATGATCGGGAGGAGCAAGTTTGCTACCACAACGTCTGCATCTATTGAAAAATTCCCACTTCTTCTCCATAAGAAGAGAAGTGGAGAAAAACGGTAGGGGGGGGGGTGACCCGAAGGCCTGAGGTAAATTCCCCTCAGAAGAAAATAAAGTTTTTTTGTTTTTTTTAAAGAGCAACAACTAAAAACGAACTGAAAGCGAAAAACAAGTTAGGAAGTAACTCCAAAGAGCTGTGAGACGAAGCTAAAAGTGAAGCTAACAGCGATCCGATCAGACCGAGAAGGAAAAAAGGTCTTTCCAACGCAGCGGTAAGGAAGGAACTGGCAGGATGTCCGCGCCCACCCCCTCTGGGCATGCGCGGTGGGGTTCCTGCACATGCCCAGGGGACTGGGCGTGATAATCCGTTGAAAGAGCTTGCTACAGCACCGATCGATCCAGCGCGTGCGCACTAGATCCCATTGGTGTGAAGCACAGAGACCACGAAGAAGATACATTTGTTCTCCAAAATATTAGAATTTGTCTGATAAAACATAAACTTGTAAATGATAGAAGATATTTCTAAAGTCCATTCCCAATGTGTGTATTCTTTTCTAGCAATCATCAAATGGGTAACTTCAACAAATGTGCGGCAATTTGGCATCACTGGTTGAGTTTTACTAATTAATGAAAATAATTTATCTACAAATTAGAACATCACATTAACTATGTGGAGTGGGATTTTTCAAGAATCCATGTTCATTTGTCTCTCATTCCATTCATGGTGGACTGCAGTCAGGCAAATGGTTTGGGGAAAAATTTTTGGAAAGTAAGTTTTTGGTGTATCTGTCTAACACTAAAACAATTGATTGTTGTAGGTTTTAATACAGCGATTATGTAATTTCCATTGTAAAGTTCCAGTTGTTAGATGGTAGAATTTTATTTTATTATTTTATGGGATTCAGAAATTAATCATTCCACCATTGTTTTAAAACAACAGCTAAAGTGCCTTAATTTAACTTACCCGGCTTCCTTTTTCCCCTGGTGAGCCTGGTAATCCCTATAATATATTTATGAAAGCTTTAACAAGTAAATAACTCCCACCCACATATAGAATTTCTTATTTTCTGCTGTTACATTCCCAGCAAAAACCAGTGTCCTGAAGAGCGCTTGCTCAAACCACATGCAAGCAAAATTATACTAAAGCTAACCTTTATTAGCAACAGTAGCATTCTAAGATGGATCTTGAGATGTTGCTGAATGAATTATAACTATGTATATCCTGGCCTTCTTAACAGAAGCTCTATCCTTAGAACATTTCAGTGAGGTAGGTTAGGCCAAGAAACAGTGACTTAATACATGAGGTCATAGCTTATTGGAACACTTGGCCTGAATTTCTTTAATCCAAACCCAAGGTTCTTAGCTACTCTGCCACACTGGCTGTAAACTAACCATAATTTAATTTTGCAATATCGAGGCTGAATCAATGGCGGAAAGTACAATCAAGTCACAGCCGACTTATGGTGACTCTGTAGACTTTTCAAGTCAAGAGATGTTCAGAGGTGGTTTGCCACTGCCTGCCTCTGTGTAGGGACCCTGGACTTCCTTGGTGGTCTTCCATCCATGTACTAACCGGGACCACGCCTGCTTAGCTTCTGAGATCTGACAAGATCAGGCTAGCCTTGGCCATCCAGGTCAGGGCAATCCATTGTGGAAAGGAAAGTTCACCCCAGAAGTGATGTTATGCCTTCACAGCAGATGTTATACCTTCACCCCTTGGTTTCGGTTTGGATTTGGAAAATCCATTGATTTCTGCCTGCGGGGCAGGGCCAGCCCTGTACCCATTAGCAAACAAAAAGTTGGCATGGTATGGTGGATGAGGTGGGCCGTGATTGGCAGTGCACTGTTGTAAATATGGTAGTACAAGGGCACTGATGTATTATTAATGCTACATCTATGAACGTTTCTCACTTCAAGCTCAAAATAAGAAGAAAGCTGTACTTGAGAATTTCTCAGCCAAAATACTAAACTTGTGAACAGAATAATTATTTTCTTTAAAAGTTCTTTCTCATATCCAATAAATAATTGACAGCAGAAGTCTACTATAATGTGGTTTCTTGATGGCAATTTCATGACAAGTAGGAAGAAATAAAAATGCCTATACACTTACAGAAAGTCCTGCTGGTCCCATTGATCCTGGAATTCCAGGGTCTCCTTTACTGCCCTAAAATGTAATTAGGAAGAAACACACATTTTGTGATTTTTGAAGAACAGTATAGCTGTAGTATCTTTTATTGTGCCAATCTGCTGCTGATACTGCAGGAAAAGTATTCTTTGGACTCAGCCCTTTCATCATGCTAAAATGGGATTTGAGAGAGCAGTTTCGCACACTCGAAAGCCATATTTTGCTAAATATATAGCTTGACAACAGAATGTTAATATGACAATTTATGGGACATCTGCTGTTCATCTAACACCATACTAAGCTTCTATTGTTAATCTAGGAACCTACTAGGCATCTCCTGAAAGGTATTATCATAAAGATAATAAAATAAGAAAGAATTACAAATGAAAGGCAGTCTAAGTGGCAGAAAGTATGCATCTGCAATAATTAGATTATATAAAAAAGAAACTTTGCCAATGTCTTAACTTAAGGTATACTGCCAATACACAAATAAAAGAATAAAAGTCTTTATTCATGTATTGGCAAGTGAACAACCAACACGCCTACCCACCTGAATCTATCTTAAGGTGTATTGATAATTGTGTAGGGATTAGTGATGTGCGCTCAGATACATCTGGTCTGAATATATACATATATCTGATAAAACATAAACATATATTCAGAATCTGCACAGATATTTGGTCTGAATATATACATGCATTTAGAATCTGCACAGATATTTGGAATATTTGGAATCTACACAGATAACCAAGAATCTCAGCAAAACCAGTATCCTGATATCTAGAGCCAGTGATTTAAAGCTCCCTACTTGTTTGTTCGCTTTTGCTTTTTTGCAGATCTCCCAGGCATCATGAGGGAAGGGAGAGGAAGGCTGCTCTCACATGCAAATGGGATCAAACAATAGGGGGAGCTCTATCTGCCCAGTTGTCATGGGCCAGCCAGGACTCAGAAATAGCAAGGACTCTTCAGAGGAAGGAGAGCCTCAGGAAATCAGCTCTGAACCAACAGAAACCAGCAAGCAAGAAGAAGGGCTGCAGGCTTGTCAGAGCTCACAGCCAACAGCTGATGCAGAGCCACTAGCACCTTCCAGCCCTGTTTCAATAGATGAGGCCCAGGTGGTCATTACCAGCTCTCTAGTTTCACCCACAGACTTTGAGTGCCGGAGGCGAAGGCTTAGAATGGAGCTCCAGGGGAGAAGACAAAATGCACATCTCCTGGCCCAACAACAGCCGCTTGCTAATGATGAGTAGCTGCAGGGTTACTCCCAAGCAGCTGGCTGCAAGTAAGACCTGCCAGCAGATGCCTATAAAAGCCAGTCAAGGGAGACTGCTCGATGTGGAAGCAACAAGTCACCAACTGCCTGACTTTGCAACCACAGCTCTGGATTCTGCTTTCCTCCTGTGACCTTTGGACCAGCTCCTGACTATGACCTCAGACTTCCTCTCTCCCTGCCCTTTTAATGACTTCGGACTGCTAGACCTGGCTTTCTGGACCACGCTCCAAACTGAACTCTGCTCTCGGGTAACCAACCTTCTGGACTGATTTTTTAAATTTATTCATTAATTCAGGCATTCATTCATTTATTAAGTTGGATTTATTAGGCCACTCTTCCCTGCAAGCAGGGCTCAGGGTGGCTTACAACAGAAATATACAATAAACAGTCAATTTAAAACCCAACATTAAAGCACCTAAAACATATCAACAGATAAAACAATACACATTCCAAGATGGTGGGGGGGAAATGCAGCTTGCACAGGCCTCCTAGGGAGAAGGGGGTGTTTGAGAGTTCCAGATCACATACTGTTCTGTCACTGTCCTCACCTAAATGCCTGACGGAACATCTCTGCCTTACATGTCCTGCAGAAAGGTAGTAATTCCGGCAGGTCATGGATGTTCCCTGGCAGAGAATTCCACCAGGTGGGGCCAGGGCCAGATCGGTTGCGTATTATTCCAGGACTCTATCAGCGGCTGAGCGCAATTATGCACAGATAGATAAGGAGGCGCTGGTGATTGTGGCGGGGGTGAAAAAGTTTCACCACTATCTGTACGGGCGGCCCTTCACAGTCCTCACGGACCACAAGCCGCTGCTGGGCCTCCTGGCCCCCAACCGCCAGACCCCCAAGACGATTTCGCCCCGGGTGCTCCGCTGGTCTATTTTCCTGGCGGGGTACTCCTACGCTCTCGTCCACCGCCCTGGCAAGGCAATGGGCCACGCAGACGCCCTGAGCCGCCTGCTGCTGCCGGTCTGTGACCTGGATCTGGCTCCCGCCCACCAGATTGCTCTCCTGGGGTCCCTTCCGGATCAGCCAGTCCACGTCGCGGAGGTGGCTCGTGGCACCTCTAAGGACAAGGTACTTTGCCGGGTCTTGGACTGGGTGCTGAGGGGGTGGCCCGCGGCCAAAATAGACCCTGACGTAATGCCCTTTGCTTCCCGGAAGGATGAGCTGTCCGTCCACCAGGGCTGGGTCATGTCGGGTAGTAGGGTGGTCATCCCAAAACCCCTATGGGAGCGGGTCCTCACCACCCTTCATGAAACACACCCCGGGGTGGTACGCATGAAAGCCTTGGCCCGGAGCTACGTTTGGTGGCCAGGGTTGGACCGGGACATAGAGGACGTGGTGAAGCGGTGCAACCCTTGCCAAGCATCCTGGCCCGAGCCTCCCCAAGCCCCGGAACGGGCCTGGGAATCTTCCCATCGCCCCTGGTCCCGGCTACACTTGGACTTTGTGGGACCGTTTCAGGGGCAACTATTCTTTATCCTGGTGGATTCCTTCAGCAAGTGGCTGAAGGTAGTTCCCGTGCCCTCCACCTCCTCGAAGGCGGCCATCCGGGCGATGTGGCGGATCTTCAGCGCCCAGGGAATCCCTGACACGCTGGTCACGGACAACAGGACGGCATTCACATCAGCGGCGTTCCAGGAATTCACGAGCTACTACAGGATCCGCCACATCCGGGCTGCCCTGTTCCACCCTGCCACCAACAGCCAGGCCGAGCACATGGTCAGAACCACAAAGGATGCCCTCCGCCGCTTGGACTCCCCGGACTGGGATTATAAACTGGCGGCTTTCCTTTTCGGCCAGCGAATGATGCCCCACACCACTACGGGGCGCAGTCCGGCAGAACTACTTCTTGGCCGGCGCCTGGCAACCCGGCTGGATTGGCTGCATCCCGACCGGGCATCGGCAGAGGCACCAGGCACAGACACACATGAGGCAGCCAGGGGTTTCTTTCCGGAAGATCCCGTGTATGCACGGAACTACGCCCGGGGGCCCACCTGGATTCTGGCACAAGTCATACGAGTTAAGGGCCCCAGATTGTATGAGGTCTCTTGTGAGGACAGCCAAGTTCTACACCGGTACATTGACCAGCTACGCCGCTGGATGATGCCATTGGACCCCGAGGACTCAGACATGGCCGAGGTTCCGGAGACCTCACCCCAGGCCCTACTCCCGAGGGCCGACCCCCGGGCTCTACCCTTAGTTGAACCCGAGGCACCTCTTCAGGAGGCGCCAGGAACGCCGGCACCGCCGCCCCTGGCGCCTCTCCCGGCCAGCTCACCTCCAAGGGCTCCCAGGGTAGAAGCTGCAGCAGTCCCGGAACCTCGCCGCTCTACCTGCACCAGGAAGGCACCAGCCCACCTGAAGGACTTTGTCTGTGGATGCATTGCGGACCAAGGGGGGAGGGGTGTAATATATCCAGTCCAGACAAGTCCAGACAAGTCCAGAGACAAACATCGAGCTTCGCTCCAAGAGACAATGGACTATGCGGATCCTAGCCTGCTCCAATCAGGGGGCTAGTTTCCCGCCCGAGAGCCTATGGGACTCTCGGCCACTGTAAATAACCTATAGGGAAGTAGGGTGTGTGTTTTGGGTGGCGGTTTCTCGGGGATATAAGCCGGCCTAAAAGTCGGCCAAAGTCGTCTTGTTTCTGATCGAATAAAGTACGCTTTGCTGAAATCACTCTTCGTCCGTGTACTTTTCAAGTCTATTCTGGAGGTGACTATTGCATGCATTACTGTGGCTAGATTGGGGTGAGACAGGTAGGGAGCCATCTGCCTAACCTGGCACAGTTGGAAAAACACCAGCTTGACAACCTTTGTTACCTGGGCCTCCATAGACAAGGAAGCATCCAGAGTCATGCCCAGACTCTTGATGGTTAATGCCGATGATAGGGTCACCATCAAAAGTTGAGAGTTGGCCATCCAACCGAGGTTCCCCCCACCCAGCCACAGAACCTTCATCTTAGCAGGATTCATCTTCAGCCGACTCTTCTTTAACTACTCAACCGGAGCCTCCAGACCAGTGTTCCCTCTAAGTCAGGGGTCCTCAAACTACGGCCCGCGGGCCACATGCGGCCCACCAAAAACATTTATCCAGTCCGCCGGCAGGGTTGGCTCGCTTGCACGTGGCCCGGGGTTGCCTCTCGGCCTGCGTGGCTCCCCCCCACTCCATGTCCCCGTCCCGCGAGAGCGCCGCGTGTGGGCTGAGCGCCGCCGCACCTCTCGGAGCTGCAGCCCTGGGCAGGGAAGCCAGAGCGGCCCAGTCGGCTCCACGGAGGAGACGCCGCAGCGCCGCCAGCTCCAGGGCTCGCCTGTTTCGGATTGCGGGGGGAGCCAGCAGTCAGACCGCCGTGCCGGGCTTTCGAGGTCTGTTGCTGCTGCCTGCCGCTCTGCCTGGGACCCCGCTGGAGTGCGGGCACCGCCAGCCCACCGGGTCCCGAAGGGGTTGCCCGCCAGAAGTGCGGCCGGTGGCGGCACAAGGGAAGGGGCTGGGCCTCTCCCTCCGCCGGGTCTTTTTGTCTGTCCTCGGGAAGGGAAGTGCCGTGCACGGGGTGGGCGGGCACTGGGAACAGCTCTTCCAAAGCGTGGGGGGGAGACCTGGCAGGGGCACGACTGCAAGGGATCCGGTGGCGCAGGGCACTGGCCAGAGGAGCTCGGTTCCGAGAGGAGGGCAGCGGGGGACTAGGATTTACCGCTGGCCGCACTCGGAGCCTGTGTGTCTGTGTGCACGCGCACGAGCGCAGCACAGCATCGCCACCTTTGGCTCTCGAACGGTGTGAGACACCCACCTACCGCCTCCACTGCTTGGGGCCTGCAGAGAAAGCGGGACACCCCCCCGGGCAATGTTCCCTCTAAAGCAGTGGAGTCTTGTGGGAAAAAATTCTACTGGCATTCAAGTTGTGAACCAGTAATTTGGCTCTGGCATCGATAGCTATCCTGTGTGTCTTTTATGATGACTCTGAGAATCTAACAGTGGGCCAAGAGGGTATAAGGTCTTTTTGCTGACAGGGCTTTTTGTCGCAGAGGTGATTCTTCATGAAAAAAGAACACTGACCTGAGGCATTTCCACCTGATAGGAACCAGTTCAGTGGAGAGAAGAGGCACCTATTCTGATGTCTGTAAAATTTAACTCTGTTGTGTAGTGGGTTCGACGCATTGAAGAATCAGGAAACAGTATGATTATCAGCTCATAGTTTACTGGTACACAACAGAACAGAAAACACCGGCCTGATGGCCAACTATATACAGTCCCCGTGGACCACCCCCAGGTCCCATTGGTGGGTTTAAACTTCCCGCCAAAGTCCCTATTGGTGACTGCTTGAGGTTTCAGGATCCTAGACCCTATTGTCTCTTGAGAGTCAAACTCTGGTGAATGTCGCTATCGCCTAGTGCAGGGGTCCTCAAACTATGGCCCGGGGGCCACATGCGGCCCGCCGAAAACATTTATCCGGCCCGCCGGGTGTTTATCCTGCAATAGAGGGTCTCCTCTGTGGATTCCACCAAGGGCTCCTGGGAGGGCTGCGCGGGCGAGGGCTGTCTGGAAGAGCCCTGCTCGGAATTTGTTTTTTTTAAACTATAGTCCGGCCCTCCAGCGGTCTGAGGGACAGTGAACTGGCCCCCTGTTTAAAAAGTTTAAGGAACCCTGCTCTAAGTTGAGATAGTGTGAGCTAGCTCAGAATTTTTTAGCCTCCAGCTCACAGATTTTTGTCTTAGCTTAGGAGGGATGGCTCCATAGCAAATTTATGCAGTAGCCAAATTGCTTGCTTACAACTTTAATGCCAGTAACTCACAAAATAGATTTTTTGCTCACAAGATTCCACAGCTTAGAGGGAACATTGCTCCAGACCCTCAGCTAAATTCCTGGGAATGGCATCTGGCTGGCTGGCTATCAACAGAAATAGCTGGGTGTCATCGGCATATTGATGACACCCCAGCCTGAAATTCCAAGCTAGCTGGGTGAGGGGGTGCATGTAGATGTCAAATAACATCAGGGAGAGAAGTGCTCCTTGAGGAACCTCGCATCCCAGCAGGTACCTTGGAGACACTGTCCCTCCCAGTGCCACCCTCTGTCCCCAACCATGGAGAAATGGGGTAAGCCTTCGCAAGTCTACCCCACAGATTCCAACATCAGCAAGGCAGTGAGTCGATAGGTTGTAGTCAACTGTGTCGAACTGCTGTAAGGTCGAGTAAAATCAGCAGTGCTAACCTGCCTCAATCCAGCTGCCTGCAGAGATTGTCTATGAGGGTGACCAGCACTGTTTTCATCCTATGGTGAGAGTGGAAGTTGGACTGAAATGGATTCAACACCGATGTGTCATTTCTGGAGCTGTTCTCCTATAACTCTCTCAAATACTTTGCCCAGAAATGAAATATTTGAGACTGGGCAGTAATTGGCTAGATCCATAGGATCTAAATTTGGTCTCGTTAAGAGCAGAACCACCACCACCTCCTTCAGCCCCTCTGGAAAAATCCCCAAACCTAGGGACAGATGGACGATATCTTCCAGGGGACCTCATAACCTTTCACTGCTGGCTTTCACCAGCTACAAGGAGCATGGGTCTAAGAGGCAGATGGTCGGCCTAACAGCACCCAGAATCTTGTCGATGTCGGCTTGGGAGACCCGGCTGACATTGTCAAAGACTGAATCCAAAGACAGCCAAGGAGCCTCCAATTCACATACTGTATCAACACTGGCTGGAAGGTTGCAGTGGAGTGTCAAAAAAGTTTGCAAATGCCTCACAGCTTATGGCTGAATTTCTATTATTCTGGGTCCTCTCCAAAAGAGATGTAAGAGACCTAAATATCTGAAATAATTGAGCCGGGCAAGAGCTAGCAGATGCAATGGAGGAAGCCTAAAAAAATTTTTAGTGGACTTGATCGCCATCTCATATGATTTCATAACCATCCTATAAGAATTCGCTGCCAAATTTGCTCCAGTCTTCTGAGTTCCCGTTTCATCCCCCTAAGGTCCATAGTGTACCAGGGGGATGTTTTCTGGTGGGGAATGAGAGGACATAAAATCATAGATTTGGAAGGGACCTCCTGGGTCATCTAGTTCAACCCCCTGCACAATGCAGGTAATTCACCAATACCTCCCCACTACCCCAGTGACTGCTATCCCATACCCAGAAGATGAAAGAAAGGAAAAAAACCTCCAGGATTTTCAGCCAAACTGGCCTGGAGAAAAATTGCTTCCTGACCCCAAAGTGGCGATCAGCATTTCCCTAGGCATATAAGAAAGAGCCACAAGAACTAAGCACTGATGCAACCCTTCCGGCGCTCCCTCTCATGAATCAGCATTGCTGTCAGATAGACATCTAGCCTCTGTTTGAAAACCTCCAAAGAAGGAGAGCCCACCACCTCCCAAGGAAGTCTGTTCCACTGAGGAACCACTCTGTCAAGAAGATCTTCCTAATGTTTAGCCAAAAACTCTTCTGATCTAATTTCAACCCGTTGGTTCTGGTCCAACCTTCTGGGGCAACAGAAATCAACTCGGTACGATCCTCTGCATGACAGCCCTTCAAGTACTTGAAGATGGTTATCATATCACCTCTTGGTCATCTCCTCACCAGGCTTAACAGACCCAGCTCCTTCAACCTTTCCTCATAGGACTTGGTTTCCAAATCCCTCACCATCTTTGTTGAGTCCTCTGGACATGTTCCAGCTTGTCTAGATCCTTCTTAAACTGTACTGCTCAAAACTGAACACAATACTCTAGCTGAGGTCTAACCAGAGCAAAGTGACACCATCACTTCGTGTGATCTGGACTCTATACTTATTTTGATAGAGCCCAAAATTGCATTTGTCTTTTTAGCTACTACATCACACTGCTGACTCACGTTCAGTGTGTGGTCTACTAACACCCCTAGATCCTTTTCACACATACTACAGCCAAGACAAGTCTCCCCTATCCTATAATTATGCATTTGATTATTTTCTACCTAAATGCAGAACTTTACATTTATCCCCATTGAAATTAATTTTATTTGCTTTAGCCCAGTTTTCCAGCTTGTCAAGATCATCCTGTAGCCTGACTCTGTCTTCTACTGTATTTGCTACCCCTCCCAATTTAATATCATCTGCAAATTTAATAAGCATTCCCTCTTTTCCTTCTTCCAAATCATTTACAAAGGTGTCGAAAAAAATGGGTCCCAGGACAGATCCTTGAGGCACTCCACTTGTCACTCCTCTCCAAGAGGTGAATAACCATTCACAAGCACTCACTGGGTGCCATCTGTCAACCAGTTACAGATCCACATAACAGTAATAGAATCCAACTTATCAACAAGAATATGTGGAACTTTATCAAAAGCCTTACTGAAATCAAGATAAACTATATCTACAGCATTCCCCTGATCCAGCAAGGTAGTAACTTTCTCAAAAAAGAGAGTTAAGGTTAGTCTGACATGACTTGAGAAACCCATGCTGTCTCTTAATAATCACAGCTGTGCTTTCTAAATGCTCAAGGTCTGTTTATTTGTTCTAAAACTTTCCCAGATATAGACGTCAAGCTGACAGGTTGGTAGTTACCTGGATCCTCCTTTTTTCCCTTCTTAAAGATGGGGACAACATTTGCCCACCTCCGATCTTTTGGCACCTCCCCTGTTCTCCAAGAATTTTCAAAAATAATGGACAGAGGCTTAGAAATTACATCAGCAAGTTCTTTTAGTACTCTTGGAGGCAGTTCATTTACAGAAACTAGATGTTTATGTACTACCCCTATGCCAATCCTAGGCTGCAACTCCCATCCCTCATAATGTGTTCTGTTTTTGCCATGTTGAGCAATGTTTTCCCTCAGGCAAATCCCTAGTAAGGACAATGGGGCTACAGCCTGTTTGTCTGTCGAAGATTGCTTACCCTCTCTCCTTTTGGTCCTGCTGGTCCTGGAACACCAATTGGTCCTGGAGTGCCCTGAAATTTGATAAAAAAGTAAGCCCATTAAGCCATTTATTCAGTCACATATTTTTCAAAATGGACAACAGTAGGATTCCTCATGGGAAAAGAAGAGCTGAGAAGGAGATTTTTGTTATGCAAAGTATTCAATTAAAATACTACAGCTTTCAGATTTGATGATAACACTTATATGCATCAAGTATGGCCTGTCCAAGCACATGAAGTAGATATTATAGTAATGACAACAATACTTTTGATTTCTTAAGTGATATATTTTATTCCCTTGTTCCATCACCAACAAAGCTAAGAGCTGTAGTAGAAGGTACTATGTGAACATATCATAAGCTTTTCAAAAGAAGGTTGGTGGGTGTAAGGATAGATTACAACACATTTTATGAAGGTTACTTATCATGCAGGCTGATTGGTCACCATGCCACAGGCAATAATGCAGATATATAGTTACACAGCAGAAAACATCATTCAGTTTCAAGTCTTCTGCTTACCCATCTGTCATTTATGCACCACTCAATGAGGGATGGCAAAAGGGAAATCTAATAGAGTTCCTCTGTTTTTTGTTCAGAAACTTTCTGTTTTATATTCATGTAATGATAAAGCTGATATACATTTTGTCATGTTAACAAATTAAATGAATTAGGGCATTATCCAGCTTTCGGCCAGTTTCCACAGCGAGAAAAATTAGGGGATAAAGGTTTCTTTGGACATGAAAACTTTTTTTTAATATGCAAGAAATTTTTGTTCCTGGGAAGCATTCAGTGGGCAACCCTGAACTGCTGTATGAAATCCAGGGAAAAAGTCCAGCATTTTGTGACAGCCAGTGTGGTGTAGTGGTTAGAGCATTGGATTAGGATTTGAGCAACTTGGGCTGCGATCACACATACGTTTAGATCCAACATAGGTGTGAATGCCTGATGGATCTAAAGGGAGAGATCAGACAGCAACATCTGGGAAGTATCCCGCAGTCGTCGGCAACCTGTGCTGCTCCGCTGCAGAAGCAGAGTTAAAAGACACTGGGGAAAGTCCAGTAGTAAATGGGTTCTGACAGCCATTGGGATGGTCTGATCAGGACATCCCGGCTCAGTGCTGTTCTTTCCCCCCTCTTTGCAGTATGCGCATCATCTCATACTCCATAGGGGGTCCTCAGTGTGGAGGTGTGATTCCTCATTTATGCGCATGGGAAACAAGCAGCCCCAAACCCCATGACTCACCTACAGTTGCTTCTGATCACACAAACAGAGGTCTGATCTCGCAACTGCATGTCAAATTCCTCCAGAGGGAATAGCCTCCCTTCCCCTCCACTTCAACTGGCGCATGTGACCGCAGCCTAGGGTTCAAATCCCCACTCACTCAAGAATCTCACTGTGTGACTTTAGGCCAGTCACCCTCTCTCAGTCTAGCCTACTTCATAGAGTTTTTGTGAGGATAAAATGCAGAAAAGAACCATATACAGTATGCTGAGCTCCTTGGGAGAAGTGCAGGAAATATGACAGACAGATTACTTATATAGACCAAAGTAAGCAGTGTTTAAACTCATTGATTTCAGTTAGAAAGATGAGCATGTTCTTAAGTCTCTTCCACTGAAATACACTGGATGTAATTTTGGCTGGATCATGCTTTTGTTAATAATATAATGGATGAACCCTAGTGTTCTGGCAAGAAAAGGGATCTCTTGAAAGGCTGGGAGTTAATATGAAAATTGGTGGGCTGAATAAGAAGTCAGTTTAAGAAGTACTGTGTCACATCATTCTCTTCCCCAGATGTTTTGCAGTGACTTTCAAAGTGGTATGAAAAAGAAAATCTCCAGATCCACCGCTTAAACACAGTGTATTAATTCAGTTACATTTATAACCTTAAGAGCTGGTTTGTAGTATATCTGGCCTTATGTCTGATGGGTGGGTTGGTGGAGGGGGAGATTCTTGTCTCCAGTGCCAGCAAGGATCTATGCATTGTGTAAAGTCAGAATTTGGCCAAACCCCAACATGTGTAGGCTCATATGTGAAATTAATTCCCGTATTTACCCTTGGAGACCAAGTGCACACACAGAACAAACATATGTTACATTTGGTTACAGTTGGATATTATACCATCACATGGATGCTTGCAGGCAGAACAAATGCACTGGTTGGACGAGGAGGTGATGCATAGTCTTCCACTCAATCCATTCCCCACTGCATGGAAAGCCATGTTATCATCCAAACCAGCTCTAAATCACCTGATAATTCTTCTCAATAATTTGTGAGAAAGGTATGCTTACTTTAACAAGCCTTCACTAGGAATTAAAATTTTTCACATATGAGAGATCAAAGCATTATCTATTGACCTATTTATCTGACAAAAACTTTGAGGAATCTTAATTATGACTACCTAAACCTACTTCTCATGACTCAACCAAAAAACCGATCTTGAGATGGAGAAGGTTGTCTTGGGAGTCACATGTCCAAGCCTTCCCAATACACAATCCAAACAGCAACCCTCAGGCTTTTTACAACACTCAATTCTGACTTGTGCAAGTCCCCATCTTGAAGATAGCAGATGCAAGTCCCAATCTGAGATAGCAGATGGAACTCCTGGTGGATGCTCAGAAGTATCATTGTCACGTGCCTAACCAGTACTTTGCATCTCCAGCCCATAGCTGATATGTAGAGCTTAAGAAATCATCAGGTTTGCCCCAATACATAAGGGCTCAAATTCTGGCTGTTGTTGGAGCCACATCTGTGCTCCTGGAAAGCTCTCCTAAATCCAGCAGATTTTTTTCTCTGATTTTCTACCTCTTGTTATTTGCCATCTGTTGCTTTTAGTTATTTCCACACTTTGACTGCTTCATTGTTCCAGGACTGCATGTAACCCTACTGTAGCTGGAACCAGATTGGTGATGCAGAATACTAGCAAGTTTTAACTTCACTGAATGGACTTGCAAGAATTAGTATGGAATTTTTCTAAGCCTGTGGACTTCAATGGATTTAGAAGTTGCAAATCTGTTTGGGATTTCACTGTTAGAAGACTGCATATTTGGGGCAGATTAGTAGTTCACAGACCCCCTCCACTTAATCTGTCCAAGAACACAAGGAAGAAAAATTTACTTTTTCACCTATTTAGGACTGCACAATGGTTAGCATAATCTAACGACATTATTTTCCTCCATTAGAAAACTATGTAAGGCCCTACAAATAGAAGAAATTTTTTTTTTAAAAAAAGAAAACATTCTATAACAAATTAAGGGTTCGGTCTGACATGATACCAAGATCCACTAGAAATAACTGTACTTAATAATTGTCCAAGAATTTTGAAGCACTTCATAAAAATGAAATAATGTTGCTATTTTTTCTTTCAAAATAAAAAATGTAGTTGACAGAATTCAGGGGTTATTAAGTAAAGATTGCTATCCTGGGATAGTCACCTGTATTAACATGGAAGAATTTCTAGGTATTTTACTCACATTTTATCCAAAGTTACTCAATCCTTCTAATGTTTTTATGATTACATCCCAGAGTAAAAAAGAAGTTACTCTTCCAATATTTTTGCAAAATGTAGTTTGTGGTCTTTCAGTTCATTGCACATTCTGATTTACTGCAAGAATGTGAATCTGTGAATCAGGAATTATTTATTATCTGCAGAGAATAGGCCATATGAACTGACTTTCAGATCTTGAGTACAACTCCATAACTGAAGCAGGAATAGAATCCAAGAGTTTTGGTGTCAAGATTATTGCTAGGTCACCAGTTTAGTCTTAGTGTGACTAAACTGGCTCTAACAGCAGTATCATTAAAGTTAGGTCACCAGCCAGTTCAGATTAATAACATGAAACTCACAATCATTGCCCATTTCACATGGGTGGATTTGAGAAGATCACTTGGGTAGATGTGAAAGCACATCAAGTGTGGTTGTATAACAGCATTCACAAAATGACAATATGTTTTATTTCTATATCACCTGTGTGTGCAAAATACTATATATCAGTTTAAGAAACTGGTTGCAATGAACTGACTGCAGTTGAAATAAAAACTACACCGGACTGCCCTTTGCTCATATAGCGTTCATACCAAGCATTACTGTGACTGAGAGCTTTAGTTAAGTCTTACATGGGAGAGAAGACTGTGAGCGTATCACAGTATGAGGACAGAGGTATATAATATTAATTCTGTGTACATGTCAAAGTTTAATTTATCACAATTTTTAACAAATATATTGGATTGTCTTTAGGGCTATATCCTTGGATCCATGTGAATAAGGTTGTGCTTCATAACTTTATGGTCCTAATTACATCAAAATGCAGAATTTTCGCTTCTCCTATCCTACCTTTTTGGAAAGACAATGGTACAGATAAGGTTGTGGCAGGACAAAGAAGACAAATCACGATATTAGGAAAGAGGAATGTAGGGTAATGGAGAAATGGAACTCACCGGTGGGCCAGGCCTGCCGTCTAAACCTGAAGCACCCTGGACAGACAGGGAAGGGTTAACAAAAGGCAAGGAGGAATGGGGGTGAGGAGGGGAAGGAAGAGGTGAGTGAAACGGTGACTCAGGACAAACATATGCTCACAATAAAACAACAAAACTTGGATCTCAAAGACAGGTGATGGCACTTACAAGGAAACCAACAAAAAACAGACAGTTAATGTAATATGGGCCAGTTGCTTTAGGATCCCTTTGGGAATACAACTCCTTAACATACTCTATCAGAACCCCACAAGTAGTTCTTGGCCTGTGTGGTGGAGATAGGGATTGCAACAGCATAACTAGGGATCAGCAGACACAGACTGGTCAGTAATAACAGTGAGTCCTAATGTACAGTTGTGTTTTCAAACAGATTTTTGGAAGTGATGCAGGTTGCTTTGAGTCTCAATCTTATTGTAGGCTCCAAGAAACCATATTAATTTCAGCAACTTTCAAACAGAAAAGAACCAGTTGGGGAAGGAATACGGTTCTTGAGTCTTCAAACATTATGTGTACTGGAACTATAGTAATGTTCCAGTGAATTATAATCCAGTAAAATGGAGGGGAAAGAATACAAATTAGGGATGCCAGCCTCCAGGTGGGGCCTGGAGATTCTCCGGAATTACAGCTCATCTCCAGACTACAGCGATCAGTTCCCCTGGAGAAAATGAATGCTTTGGAGGGTAGATTCTATGGCACTGTACCCCACTGAGGTCCCTCCGCTTCCCAGGCTCTATCCCCAAAACTCCAGCAGTTTCCCAACCTTGATCTGGCAACCCTACTTCCACATTCCCCACCAGTGATTGGAAGGGGGCCAGTAACCCAGATAAAAATAAATGAAACCCAAACTCTAAAACCCTATAAAGCCTTTAGACACAATTCAGCCCAAATCAGTCCCATCTAAGCGCTGATGAAAGCATGGAAACCAGACAGCTAGTTCATACTCCGGTAGTTAAATGTTAACATATCTTGATTGAATGTTCAAGAACAAAGGTGATAAAAGTTCTGTTTAAACCTGGGTTGGTTATACTGGGCAAAAACATTAAACACAGATGAAAATGATGATATAGGTGTGCATTGAGATGTGCGTCAGCATTGGCTGTATGATTGTACTCTTTATACTTCCTTGAATTCAATGAGTTTATGCTATTAATATTGAACAGAACTGGAATTTAAGAGGTCATCCTATAAAATTTCTGCGTTACCCTGATCACTGCAAATTAATTACATAAATATTTCAAAGCATATTTATAACATGATCATAAAGTGCTTCATAGGCAGCATTCTGTTGAAATTAATGGGGCATGAAATGGGTAGGGAATTTGAGAATAATGCTAATAGGTTTTTACATTCTGAATAACTGTAGCTATGGGAACACAAGAGAGAAACGATAAATACATTTGGTGCGGGGACTGGCTTTTGTTTAGCAAGCTTCAATAATTTTTTTCATTAAATCTGTTAACAGTTGTGGATAACAGTGCAGATCAATAATATTATATTATGCGGTTACTACTTTGTGGTCTTTGTACATCACACAGACGAGCTTCATGCCTGTGTAGAGAGCTATGATTCGGAAACTTCTAGAGCTGACTTTTATGCATGAAAGGCCTCTCCCCTCAGATACCACAGCTCTGTTCATACCCAAGGGGGAGGAGTCAGACCTCTCTGCTCAGTTCTTTTTCATCTGTGACAGTGATAACAGCATCAGGCAACCTCTCTTCACAGTCACCTTTCTCTGAGGGTAAGCTTTCTTTTGAAAACAATCCATTGTCCTCTCCTTCTCCTTCCCTCTCCAATTTTCACCACTTTCCCAGTACTTTTCATTAGTCTTGTGTGGTGCCTCATGTGGTTCAGAAGACAACTTTTAAAAAGCATCATCAGCATCAGGAGAGAGTTCTCTTCAACTGACAGCTACAATTATTGTCTCCTATGTTTGGAAGAGCAGCAAACATTTAAAAGTCGTATTCATTGTCTGAAATTTACAAAACAGACATGGTGTAGTGAGTCCACTGCACCAACCTTCTGTGTGGGAGCCCTCTTTGCCTCTGATGCAATGGCTGAAGGATTGGGATAAATCACTCAGAAGAAATGTACCTTGATCTTGGTGCCTCCTATTTCTACTCTGATGCCAGACATGTTGATCCCAGAGTCTTTGACACCAACCCACCAAAGGTATAGGGCTGGCTCCCTGGTACTGAGTCAGCACAGCAACAAGTCTTAAAAATATCAGTCCCCAGTTGATGAAACAAGAAGGAAGTACAAAGAGAAGCACCAACCAAAGGTCGGTACCAACTGGGTTGTTTCTCTGCATATTCCTGACGCATCAGCCCAAGACTTGCCTGAGCAGACCCTGGAACTATAGCCAATAATTAAGGTTCTCCAAAACACAATACCACTAGACTTCACTGGTTGATACAGACCTATCTCCAGTTGTCCAATTCACTGGCTATTTCTCTGAGAGACAGTTGAAAGACTTCTCATCAATATATTCCTAATCACCTCTGCCTCACAGACCACCACCAATCTTGCTACGGGAGAGATCTCTGTTCTACTCTTGATAATAAGGTTTTTCCAGATGCTGCTCCTTGAAGTCCTAGACACATCAACCCTTGTATCATGGATACGAGAGGCATGATTACCTTTCCTATTACTGGGAACAAAAATGGCACTGCCATCAGAATAGAGTAAAATACTTCATTGCTTTACATACATTCCCATGCATGGTTCTGGGAATCGTGCACATCAATATGCTTGTTGGGGGGATCTACTCATCCAATCTCTGCTATTGCTGCCATCAGCCACAACATCCTGCCCATTGTCTTCTTCTCCTGCATCTCCACCAGAAGGCACACAGGAACCTTTTGTTTGTATGGTCATGGATACTCCAGTCCTGACAGCAACTGAAACTGCATCTCATGACTTCTCACATTAGACCAGAATACCTTGTCCTCCTTTGGATCACATATAATCTTGCAAGTCCTTCTCTGCTACATCATGCAAGTCCTCATCCTTCCACAAATCTCTTGTTGACTGGCCAGCACACTAAAATATCTGGATGTTCCAGGCAGAGTTTTTACTTCTTCACCAACTTCAGGTAATTTTGAATGCCATCCATCCATCAACCCGACAGTTCTATCAGGGTAACTGGAAGCATTCACCACCTTTGCTTCTACACAGAGATAGGACCCATCCCACCAATCCAATGACTTCCATCACAGAGTACTTGTTCCACATGCATTCTCTAGGCTCGCATATTTATTTCTTAAAGTCCACCTACTTGTCCTTGGAGCTTCACACTCTCTCATCCAGGGTCACTAACTCTTTACCCAATCTCTGCTGAAGTGATTCTTCAGGGGTATCACTGGTTCCACTCTCCACTTTAAACCTGCATGCGACTTCCATCTTGTTCTCATCCAACTTGTAGCCCAGTTATTTGAGCCCTTAAACACTAGCAGCCTAATCTGCCTATTCATAAAGTGACTCTTCCGGCTGCAGTTTTCTCAGCAAGGAGAGCCAATTACATCAGCACTCTGCTCAGAAAACTCCTTTTTACAGCAAAAAGGTGGTCTTGTGGCTGGACATCACCTTTCTACCAAAGGCAGCCTCTGGATTGTGTCTTAACTCTTGGTTCTCCCCACTTACTTCCCAAATACAGCTTTGAAAATAGGGAGGGCCATACATCCTTTGTAACGTTGGAGAGCATGGTCATTCTACCTAGTCCAAACTGCCTCCTTCAGAAAAGACCATGGCCTGTTTTACTCAGACCCAAAGAAAGGAGATAAGGTATCATCCTAGATCTTGAGCCATTGAGTGATATTAACCACCAAGCTCTGTTATAAACTTCCCCTGAAACCTCTTCTTGGGACAATTAGCTCATTCTACCAGGGCTTTTACCACATCCTCAGCCTTCAAAGAGATTCCTCTTCCTGAACTCTGAAGAGCAGCCAACTGGACTCAGCCTTCCACTTTCATGTGGCACTATGCCCTTGATGGTCCTTTGGCACACCAGTGCTCAACACCCCTTTCTCCTAGATGCATCTGTAACATCCTCCAAATAGGTGAGTTTACTAGTCTACTCCTATCAGTATGATGCAGAGACCTCAAATAATTAGAAATTGTTTTTTCACATATGTGTTGTTCTTCAAGTGGTCATTTGTGCATTCACATGGCCATAACAGGCACTTTTAACTTGCTGTGGTGTACCTTTTTTTGGAAGGAACTGAATGGGAAGGCATGACCCTTGGGCATGTACAGACAGAATTGTATCTCTAAGGGGAAAGGACATTTGGGTCTGAAATCTCTCTGGAAGTTTCCAAATTGAAGTTGTGTGACCACCAGTGTGAATGCACAGACTACTCAAAGAATAACCTTTACAGGTAGGCAACCTGTTTTTCTTTAGTTAAGTGGCTAAACACTAGTAATTGATAAAAGAATTGGAACTAAACTGAAACTATGTTTGAAAACAGCTTCAAAAGAAAGCTGTATCTTTTATGCAAAGTAGTTTCAGAAATGAACATGTGATCACAGTAAGTGTTGTGAAGTTTTGTATAAAAACATTGTCAGATTACAGTAAGAGAGAAATTCTAGCAACCATAATGAGGATTAGCATAAATTCATGTGCATCCAATTTAACATGGATTATGTGGTATTGAAGGTCAAAGAACAAGGGGACAGCAAAGGATGAGATGGTTAGACAGTGTTATCAAGGCAACGAACATGAAATTAAGCAAACTCCAGAGCATAACGTGATGTGGTCGCAAAGAGTCGGACTTGATTGTGGGACTGAACAACGACAACAAATGTGGTATTTGTTACACAGAGATTTTCATGTCTTTTGAACATGGAAACAACCACCAGGCAGAAACTGCAAATATCTTTCCTATATGTACCAGGATATGCAATTTAATGCAAAATAATGATGCGACTGCCTTCCAAATGTTTTGCAGAGGAATACTTCTGAAGAAGGTGGTGGATGCAGCTAATGCCCTTGGGGTCCCGGCAGA